AGAATCTCTCACTTTCTCTGTTTCATCTTTCTCTCTCCCTCTCCCTTTCTCTCTATAATTCTGTTGCGTCGGGGAACTTGGGATAGTAACGATAATTCGATGACGTCTAGAGTGTTGCGTACTAAGTGGTGGCAGTAATGTATAGTCATTGGGACAAAAAGATTTCTCGCTGCGCTTTCTCGTTCGCCGCGTTATCGCGGCCGAATGGAAGCTCGTCGAGCTCGTTTGTACGCTCCACGTATGCGAATTTACGCGTATTCTTTTTGATCAGAGATTGCGTGGGCGGTTCAAACGGTCGCAGCTGCGTTGGTAATTCGAATGGTCGCAGCTGTCGTTAGTAATTCAAAAATGTGGCCGAAGCCCGCGACTTCCATCGGCGTTGCTCGCTCGAGTACGAGTCCGCCGAGCAACTTCATTCCCTTCGATCGTCAAGGGCCCTTTAACAGCGTAGTCCGAGACTACAGAATCAAACGAGCTGCGTGTGAATTACAGTGGAAATAATTTTTACGTTTTCGTATCGTTGAAGTTATCCTTGCAACAACGAGGAGGCAGCTCCTACATTTTCATTCTCGAATGGTATTTATTTCAATAAATATGGGAGCCCCGCGTTTAAAAGTGTCAAAAATTTATTGTTTTTGTAACACGTTTCAAAAACTTGGCATTACTTTCATCGATTACGAGTTGGTTCTTGTTGATTATATCGGACGTAATCAAATTATCCGAGAGCGGAACTGTCTCTTTATTGCGGCAACTCTCACAATTATTAATATTCTAATGTTTACCATTGTACTTTGTATAAAAAGTTGAATGTGTATGTCTGACACCAGAAAAACGCAGGATGCCTCGAGAATAAACGGACAATTATTTTCTAAATTGTTCACACTGAATTCATCGTTATTTTATCACACTATCAAAGGATTGATTAGAGAAGAAATTCATCGACGACGATCTCTTCGTGATTACATCGAGAGACATGTATAACAATTTCACTTTTTTTTTTTTTTATGATCTACGTATCTTGGGTGACATTAGAAATCGATCATTTTCGAGACTCAAACTGCCGGCACGGGACATTTGAACGACAAGAGGTAAAAAGAAGATTTAAACTTCAGTGGTATTACAGAGGAGTTGCACATTGAAATCGTCAAAGTTTCGGGAACAAGCGAGTGCTATTTCTATATTACAATCTTTATTTATAGATTTTTACGGACGATCAATGGAGACGTTTCGACACAATAATATTACAAAATATATAAAAACTACGTCCACAATACTCTGAACAATACTTCGTATGAGTCATCGATAATGTTTCTACGAAACACAATTTTCATCGAATAAAAATAAAGATTCCTTTTATGTGCGAAAAATATATCGCAACTGGAAAATAAACTGAGATTAGACAGTTGATAAAAAAATCGGCGTAGAAAAAGAAAATACGAACTGATATGAAGTCTTAAGAAAAAAAGGAAGAAGAAAGAAACACATTTTTTTTCAACAAACATCTTACGATTTTATCTTAAGATGCCACAAACTTGACTGACACTTGAACGCGTCCAAATTCGACATACAGGGTGTCACAGTTTCTATGGTACGTAAAGGAAAATAAGCGAAATACAAAGAACAACATTTCCTCATTAAAGTCTTTGCTTTCGAGAAAACTCGAGTTAGAGAATTTCGTCAAGCACGTTTGAATTTCGCTAATTCCGCACTGGGCGGAAGCGAGTAATTGACGCAAAGATATTCTACGTGTAAAAGATAAATGAAAAGTATCGAAAAATAAGATCTTTTCTTTTCACTTTAAGGCATCGTTTCCAAGAAAACAGACTTTAATGATCCATGTAACGCCGTGCAACCATGACGTCATACACCGATATATCAATCCAGTTTCATCGTACACACGCCGTATACACCCTGCACACAAAATATCGAGTCTATCGGTTTCCTGTTGGGTTAATTGCACTCGTTGCCAACCCAGTCCGGTTTCCTTTCCCCAGCAATATCACGCCCTATAAATACAAGTATAACGAGACATAGTGCTCCATGATTTTTCGAACGCGCACTCGAAAAGCCATTGTTTCTCTCTCTCTCTCTCTCTCTCTCTCTCTCTCTCTCTCTCCCTTTCTCCGTTTTCAACCGAGATCGATCCCTCCGACTTAAAGCTCTTAAATCACAGACAACTAACGAGGTACGTTCGCTTAAGTTCCACGGTCTCGTTTCCCTGTTCGTGCAGCGTGCAGTACGTGCCGCGAAACTCACCGGCAGATATTTATTCCGTGATCCCGTATGGCAGTCTCTGATGACTGCCGGCGAATCCGTGAGTGGAAGCAGCAAGCGAGCTTAGTTTCGTTTAGGGCGAATCGATGAACCGGAAGCACCGGAGAAGTAAGCTACCCCCTCGCTGATCACCACGGCTCCTTGATTGGCCAATCCTGCATCTCCACACGCGAGCTCTTTTCTTCCTGTTTTCCCTTCTTCGTTCCTTTTTCCTTTCTCTTCTTTGAGAATTTTCTTTTTTTCTCTTTTTTTTTTTCTTTTTGCTCGACACACACACACACAGATAGGGAATATTTGCAGTGAGATAGCGACAGACTGCCAGACATTTTTTATGTATTATTAAAATGTGAGATTGAAAGGTGTTCGGCGATTTGGAGAACTATGGAGCGTGTTAGAGTTTCGAAAGAAATAAATACAAATGAATACATGTAATAACAGATCCTTAAATAATATAATAGTGTAATCTAAATAACGACAACCCTTCGAGGACGAGGTCTGACGAAGGTCAAAAGATGATTTAGATTCTTTTGATAAGTTTCCTAGTAATTAGATGAATTTGATAATTACTCTTGTCGGCAACAAGTGCTACTAACCACACGTTGATTTCGCTTATACATAATTAGAAAATTTAGTATTGTTGAAACAACTTCTGTCAAGGGTTGCACAGACGTCGTCCCTGAAGGAATGATAACTCTGAAACAGTACTTACAGCAATCCTTAAACGAATAAACATCTTACTTGCGATCCTATTTTAAAATGTCGAAGCTGTAATTGATTATATTCAAACTTGGAACTTGCAATCACAATATTCTTATTTGCATGAAATCTTTGAAACGTACTGAAACGTTTGTTTCGTCTAAGAAACAAAGAGTGCTCCGTACTTCTGAGCAACGTTGAAAATTATATAAAACATTCGAGGCGAGTCATGCATCGTGACGTCTAGTCGGTGAAACAAATTTCTATTTAGCCTATATGTTCACAAATATGTAAACTTGAGTAAACGTCCACAGTCTAGTGACAGATTCGTAGTCTATTGTATATTTAGGACAAACATCTTAGGCCCTGATTCAACGGACTCACTGTGTCAAACATATTTCAGTCTGGTTCGTAACGTAACGCAGGATCAATCGAACAATCTGCACGCGATCCGAGATTATTTCATTTGTACAACGATCAGAGGTTAACGACATGATCGAGCCACGAACTTGATGTTTGACTTGTACAGGCTGTATCGAAGTTTCTCCTTTCAGTGAAAGACAACACGGATCTCGATTTCTCTCGAGTTTTAGACGATACACGTACACGTGATATGTCACCGATTTACCGGGACGGATATTAGCGGAATGGCCGGTGAAGATATCGAGCGGTAACGAGGAAAATTCCATCTGAATACGAAAGTTTAACCATATGCATGACACGGAGCCTGTAGTTTCCCTCAAATGTGTGAGACACCACGCAGATCTAACTTTTTGTTGGATAGATCGATGATGTTGGTAACTTGAAATGTTGCCTGAGTAAGAACTGAAATATTAAAGTAATTACTAATTCTAAGTACTGGATGTATCAAAAACGTAGAGAGTTCAATGTTAACTGCCCTTCCTGGAATTTTTTTTTACGTTTCAATCTCGCTTCAGTTTCGATCGAGAAGAAAGCTGTTCAGTGTTTTGAGTAGATGTTCGAGAAATCTTACGTATTAATACGCTACATTGTATTTTTATGCACTTAATTTAAATTTAAAGGTACGAAATTGCGGAGAATAATACGCAAAGATGTATAAAATCGACAAAATATGATATTCGTTACTCGATAGATAAACTAACTTTCTAAAAATATGAATTTTCCACAAATATTCACCGCGTCCATTCAGTAACTATTCTCTTAAAGTAAGAAACCTTCCAAAAAGTAACTCAAAGAACGCAGCAGAGTTAAAAACGAATGAATTCACTATTACTAATAAATTCACGGCTGAAAGTAGGTTACCTGTCATTCTCGAGATTACGACACCCAGTGTACCATTTTGGTGATTAATAAACGCGAGGTTTAATGGACTAGAATCATACATGAGCATCGAGCTCTTTGCAAACAGAGAACGTTGGACAGAAGGTGGTAATTGATCGAGTAATTGATCATTTTGTCGATAATGACTGAATGTTACCCTCGCCTTGAGCTATTAAGTCGATTCTCTAACGTACAAACAACACGCGAAATTCCCCGGGATAGCAGAAGGATCGAGATATTCGATAATGTCGCTTTTGAATAACGGCCATTAGCCGGCACATTAGGTAAAACCATCACTTCCAAGACGACGAACCTTAAGCGAGTGAGACTCCACAATTTTCCCTGCGAAAAGTTAAAAAGGCCATCACACTCGTCGCACAATGGATGGATCAATTTCTGGAGCCTCTCGCGCACGATCGAATATATCGTTGGTATTATAAAATTCAGTGAATCAAATTTGATGATAAAGGAAATTCGAGTTATCGGTCATTCGATTATTCTTCGGTCGTTCTGATGTCAAATTTCAAAATTGGAATAGATTGGAATTGATTTGCTAATGATAAATTATCGATTATTCGATTATTCAACGTAATGTAAAATTCCAAAATTGTGAAAAGGGGATCTGATCTTTGACAAGATTACCAGAACTAGTAAATTTGATAATACAAGAAATTCCACTTCAGAAAGAAAATCCAAAAAGTGGAATAAATCGAACGGATTTACCAGCCATTCGATCATTCCTGATGCAAAATTTCAAAATTGTGGAAAAGAAATCTGATCTACAAATCAGCAGAACAAATAAATTTCTTCCATAGCAGAGATAGATTTGGTAACGATAAATTATCGATTATTCGATTATTCAACGTAATGCAAAATTCCAAAAATTTGATAATACAGGAAATTCCACTTTAGAAAGAAAATCCGAAAAGTGGAATAAATCGAACAGATTTACCAGCCATTCGATCATTCCTGATGCAAAATTTCAAAATTGTGGAAAAGAAATCTGATCTACAAATCAGCAGAACAAATAAATTTCTTCCATAGCAGAGATAGATTTGGTAACGATAAATTATCGATTATTCGATTATTCAACGTAATGCAAAATTCCAAAAATTTGATAATACAGGAAATTCCACTTTAGAAAGAAAATCCGAAAAGTGGAATAAATCGAACAGATTTACCAGCCATTCGATCATTCCTGATGCAAAATTTCAAAATTGTGGAAAAGAAATCTGATCTACAAATCAGCAGAACAAATAAATTTCTTCCATAACAGAGATAGATTTGGTAACGATAAATTATCGATTATTCGATTATTCAACGTAATGTAAAATTCCAAAAATTTGATAATACAAGAAATTCCACTTTAGAAAGAAAATCCAAAAAGTGGAATAAATCGAACAGATTTACCAGCCATTCGATCATTCCTGATGCAAAATTTCAAAATTGTGGAAAAGAAATCTGATCTACAAATCAGCAGAACAAATAAATTTCTTTCATAGCAGAGATAGATTTGGTAACGATAAATTATCGATTATTCGATTATTCAACGTAATGCAAAATTCCAAAAATTTGATAATACAGGAAATTCCACTTTAGAAAGAAAATCCAAAAAGTGGAATAAATCGAACAGATTTACCAGCCATTCGATCATTCCTGATGCAAAATTTCAAAATTGTGGAAAAGAAATCTAATCTACAAATCAGCAGAACAAATAAATTTCTTCCACAGCAGAGATAGATTTGGTAACGATAAATTATCAGTCATTCGATCATTCAACGTGATGCAAAATTTCAAAATTGTGAAAAAGAAATCTAATCCACAAAATTACCAGAACTAAATCTGATGATACAAGAAACTCAACTTCAGGAGGGAAATCCAAGAAGTGCAATAAATCGAACAGATTTGCCAATCTCATTCGATTATTCCGTTTCGATGTAAAGTTGCAAAATTTTACAAGAAGAGAAGTTTATAGTATGGCTCGTGGTTCGTCGATATTTGCCAATATCATCAATCATCAAATAATCGTGCAAGAGGGATCATGATGGAATTAAACTACACGAACGGGACAGTTCATGCTTGAAAACCTTCGTCTCCTAACGTTTAACACTAAAACCTCGGTACATACATCGTTCATTGATCGTTCGAAGTAAATTCACGATACGATACGATACGAAATACAAAATATATAGAAAACGATCTGGTCTCGGTTTCAGTGAAAAATAGAGCAGTCGGTCGTTCCAAATTGGATCGTCGACGAAACGGCTTCGCCCGTTACTTAAACCTTATGGCACACCGTGTCACATAAGGTAGAACGATTATAGCCCAGGATCGTCCTTGAGACGAGGACGTGTAAAAGTGATTCCGACTCCGAGATGAGTGCCTCGCACGACAAATAGAAAGGACGGCGATCAAGATCTCGCCAAATGGAAATTAGCGAAATCTTCGGCGAACTTTTCGTCAGTGTGGGTTCTTCATCATCTTCAACGGATCGCGCATGTAACGGGCGAAAACTTCCTTCTTAAATGTCTCGAAGTGCTTCCTGTTGGCACTGTTTTGCCGTTCGCGCCAAGCTGGCCTCGTCTTCCTCGTCTGCAGGCCCCAGTGGCCCGTGAACACCGGAGAGAGAACCTTGAATTGGTAGCCGGCCACGTACATCTCGTACACCTGCGCAGAGAAGGATGATCGTTCTTTAAAACGTGAGCCGTGCAGCGTTTTGTCGTTGTTGTCACTGAGAAAGCCTTCGAGGATACGAAGTTTTTCCAAGAATTCTCGGAAGATTCAGAAACTTTTATCACAGATTTCGGACTTTGCAAGTTGGCCTGTACGTACACGTGTACGTATCAAACTCGAGGTTTTTGGGTATGCAGTATCACACAGCATGTGAGAAACGTTTTATGAACGTGATGTGCGCGTCACACGTTAATTTCGTTAGCAACTAAGTCATTAATAATTGGCGAAATTTGGGACTAATCTGAAAATATAAACAGATGATGTGTATTGTATAAAAGACATATGATGATGTGTATTGTATAAAAGACTGCAAAAAAGTAGTATGTGATATGAATTATTAGCTTGCGTTAAATAAGTAAGTTAATAAGTCAGAAAAGATTCTCCAGAAATATTGAGAATACATAAAATGTCATGGACAATTGATCGTTCAATGAATTTTTGCAATAAATGTCTCATAGTTTCTCTCATAGTTCATATTTTGCTGATCATGATAATCGTGCTCCATCACAATGCCAACGAATTTGACATTAGCATTACTCGTCGGATGTGTTCAAATTTTTGTGAGCCAAAATACCGAAATGATACGCTTTTGCAAGCTGCATTCTTTCGAGAGAGATATTCCAATATTTCGCAAGCACACCAACTCGGTCGGAATTTCAAAAATAGTGAATATACGGCATCGAAATTCGCAAGTGACACGCGAAAGCCGCAGGGCTGATTTAGAATAGTCACATGGAATATCTTTGTTACACGCATTTGAAATTCAATTTTAGTATGGTTTTAGTATTTCAAGATAAAATGGAAAACACGTATTCCACGTAAAAAAATATTGAAACGATAGGACAAGAGGCCGCAAGATTCGAATTTACATTCCCCATTTACTAAACGTGGCAATTGGATCATCAAAACCATCGATAAAGATAAAAATATATCGCTTAATTAATTGAAATTTTTATTACTCGGAACAAAGCATAAAGGACAATAATAAAAAATTAGCAAACTTTGACTTCCTCGTCACCGTAATAAACCGCAAACAATCGATTTTCTACAATTAACAAAAAATCCATATATTCAAAAGGAAACATACATTTGGCACGAGAACAGTAACAAAAACTAACAAAGTTGATTTAGCTTTTTAAGCATAAAGTACAGTGACAAAAAATCAGTCGTGCGAGTTTCGAAAGTTTATTCTACGAACTCACATTAACAAACAGAGAAAACAGTAAACAGTACATATATTTTTATCAAAACTTTCATCGGCATCACTTGTCCTTTTATAAATACTTCCTTGCACGTACAAAATGGCCAAAATCAATAGAATGCTCAAACTATTCACTGCTGTCGAGGCAGAGCGTGAAACAAATATACCAAAACATTGTATTTTCATTTCCACGTTGTTCGTGAACTCTCTCGACAACTGAAGAGCGTTTTCACGCCTGCGCGCGCCCGAAACTATATACGTAAAATCGTGTTGCATTTCACAAACGCACAGTTGGAGGGGTTCGAGGAAAGGAGGGGGTGAAAAAGAAAAAGAAGAAGAAGAAGTGGCGCCAGGTATCGCTCGAACAGTGACATTGCCACAGGAAACACAATGTTTCCGACGTTAGAGCAACGTGAGCAGTAAGGAGGAAGAGGATTGCCACGCGGCTGGCAATCTCGCTCCCCGGTCCGCCAACTGAGACAGGTCAGACAGACCTAACAGACGGGATCCGGCATTTCTGTTCTCCAGTATGGATGCGTCTTCGTGAATAATCATACGTAACAATAGCGAGTCGTACATGACAGCCGCACGTGAAGCTGGTAGACACGTTGTGATTACCAAGACGGAAATGACAGTATGGCTGTTTCGACGTTTGATTCGTAATTGTGAGAAAGTTATAGCTGTACGAGCGTCGCGAGCCGGCGAAATTGCGCTACCGTTACCATACTATACTGCCGTGTGTATGCAAAGTGGTTTTCAATGATGGAACGTAATTTCTGCGAATCGATCGACTGTTATACTTCACGAAGTGTGCGTAATATCTGTTTCTTTGTTTCTTTGTCTGGAAGATCTGTCACGAGCTATGTTCTTCGAAAATGATGACGATCGTAAACAGGAGACTTGAATTTATTGACTGGTTGATTATCGACAGGAAAGAGAATTTGGAGTTGGTGAAATAATTGCAAGGTAACAACACAGCAATTGAAAGAAATTGTTGTGTAACGTTTGTTAAAAAAAAAATGATTGCCTCTGTTTAATATTAGTATTTGTAACATGGAAACGAAATTGTATAATTTAATATTAATTGTACAAAACGAATTTAATATAATTTAATTATTGTTTTTTAATATATTAAATATAAATATTTTATACTAATATATTTTAATATAATTATTTTTGACTCAAGGTGTCACTGTTCTTGTTTGGGAAATATTAAAGATAAGATGGAAAAATCCAGATCGTGGTAATATTCAAAATTATATAATTGTATACAACGTATGGTTTTCCTAAATAGACAGCCAAGTTAATAACAAAACGTTTTCTACCATCGTTTGATCTCAACGAATCCGAATGAAAGGGGATAAAGTTCAAAAGAGCAAACCTCCGGAAGGACGATGTAATGAGATTCGTTAAACCATAGATATGGAAACGGTCGTAATTAATGTAGAGGTATTGAGGTATTGAGGCAGAATTTGTGAAGCGAAAACGCGCCAATAACGCCACTGACGACGTCCAAAGTAATTGATAGACTGCGTGTAATCTTCAGTTCACTGTTTCGGAGACAGTGAATAATTATATGTACGCAGAAGTAAGGATGACATAGTGCTACGGTTTCCGGGATGAGTGTTGTATTAACCACACCGACTTCGATCTTAAGAACCGAGAGACATCGAGGAAACGTCACCACCGTCCAATCAACCGAACGTAATTTCATCGATGCGTCTGCACACGCGATTGAATTTTATCACCGAATGATTGACAATGAATTTACGCGTGAAACGTAAGCGAGATGTGGAAATCGAAGAAATGTACAAACTGAAACGAATGTTCGTTAACTCGAACGAGAGGAATATTTCGTATTCTTCAATTTAATTTTTCAAAAAACGTAGAGAGGTTCGGAATAAATTTTAAGAGAATCATGGAGTATTATATACACGTTTGTACCTGGGCCAAATTTTGAAAATGTCTTCAACGAATAAAAGTAAAATTTCAACAGTGGGGAATTGAAGAATGAAACAGTCCAGTTTGAAACAGGAATCTGTACATTTGTTTCCTCCTGATTCAAACGAGGTGTGAACTTGACGAAAATTACGAGAATTTTGAAACGTGAATCTGAAAAATCTGACGAACGCAGAGAGACAGAAATATGGCACTTTCAATGGCAGACAATGGTCAAGGTAAATTGATCACGCACGAAACGTCACATTTGACGCAGACACTTGATTAGTAAACTGAATTGCTCGCGTAATGCGCATTGGACACAATTATTCGTCTTAATTAATCAGTGGACGAGAATTAATTCCCTTTGTAGCATTCCCCGCGGGACGCATTCTTGCGGCCGCAGTGTAAAACATTTCTGGCTCTTGCAACACAAGCTACTCATGGGACACCTGTTTGTCCGGAGTTCCGAGGGAACACAGATTGCATTAAACAACATAACGAGTTGACGTATCTCCCTAATTACCGGCTCTGGACGCTGCGCTTTGGTCGAAGAATCGCATTACCGCGTCACGAGAGTTTGAAATAATCACGCCGCGGACACGACGCGCCGAGGAAAGTTCCCAGTTAATCTCTATTAACCGGAAGTGAACAGCTCGATTCTTGTTTTTCGCGCAAAATGTTTGGGAGAAAAAAAAGGGTAAAAAGTAACATTTACGAGGTATCAATCTATAAGAGTTATACCCAACGCAAAGTCAATTATTGTATTTTTATATTGGTCTTTCTACAATATCATGAGGCTAAACTAAGGAACAAAGAATATGAGATGCAGACTGCAGAGCTAATTTTTCATTCGTATAATATTATTTTTCACTCGTATATACATATTCAGTAAAGTTTCAAATTTCACCTCGTAGAATGTTAAAAATGTATTATTTCATCAACTGTCATGCTTCGATCTGTACTTCAAAGACAGATACTTAGTTTCTAGCGACTTAGTTTCATTCCTAATGTAATTTTAATGAATATTAAAAATATATTATTTATCATCAACTATCGTGCTTTAATTTGTACTTCAAAGGTAAATACTTATTTCTGTTCCCAATGAAGAATGTACTCTTTCGATCCTATGCGTTATATTCTGTGTGCTAAAAATACGATTTCCTTTGTATATATATGAAGCAAATAATTCATTCCCAGCCTCTCGCGCAACGCAACCAACAAAGCTTTGAATATTCGAAATTGCGGCTAAAACAACCCACTGAAACTTTTGAAAAGCAAACGGAATTATTCGAGGAATTTAGTACATCTCCGCCCGTGCGTACTCCACGTGGCAATCTAATTCGAATGATATTCGACCGCCGTATTAATGTAAATTTACGCGATTTCTGTGAAACGCACATAGCCGACAATTATTCTTTCACTTATTTTAGATTACTAAGGGCATCGACAGTTCTACTTTTTTTACGAAGAGAAGAAAACGTGGTTTATCTTCTCATACCACATTTTCTTGATATATCTTGGAATATCTTGATTATTAATAGATATTTGCACAACTGATATTTACCGACCGAGCGCGTGAGTTACCCTCAACATTATAAAGCGGAAGACCGTAAAATTATTTCCAGTTTGAGGAAAAAGAATGTGGATGATGAAACGAAGGAAATTCCTTACCGTTGCGCTTCCGCTTCCGAGTATTAGGAATTTGATTTCTTGCGTTCTGAATATTAGAATTACAGTCGATGCCTCTAATTTTCCAAAATTACTGCTGGAAACGCAAGCGAATTTACATCGA